CAGGTTAGATATGTGGGGTGGAAAAACAGATGATATGTCACACAGTGCAGATTGTTAGGTTAAGAGTGTAGTGATTTACAGGCATGATGTTTTGAAACCGACACTCTTTCTCTGTAAAAATCCCACACTCACTCTACAAGTGAACCTGTTCCGTACTTTAGAAACAACCATGCATTCGAAAGCTAAGAATTCTAGAAAGAAGGTGATATGCACATGGTGGAGGTGGGTTGGGCACATGGTGGAGGTGGGATGTGCCATCCACAAAAGTGAGGGGCTGCTGCCCTCGATCTTCCCTACCCTCACTGTTGTCACCCACCTACCGTACCATTTTCCCACAACCCCATCCCTCTTCATTTGGCAGGCGCAAGGCCAAATGTCAATTCTTGGAATAGTCAGCTGTGGACTTCCGTCAGTGGAGTGGCTCGCTCGAATAGGTCAACATCCCACCACGCTCTTCAAGTTCTTGGCCTTCATCCTACCCGCCTGCCATGCCTTTCCTTTCTTCCCTGCCCACCCTTGCCTTCCATCACCTCTCCCTCTCTGTAGGCACTATCCGGCAGGTGCAAGGCCAACTCCACCACTCTCATTACGGTTGCCCTCTCTTGATTCTCGGGGGATTCCGTGGCAGTGTGCTCTGCCTTTTCTCAGCCTACACCCCCCCTCCCCGGGCGTAGGAGAGGATTGGGGGCCTGGGAGAGGAGTAAAGGGTGTGTACGGAGTGGGTTGTATCATTGTCTGATTGAAGTGAGGGGTGTGAGAGGAGTGGGAGGGATAAGAGAACTGGAGTGGATGGTTTGAACGAATTGATGGGCCCTTGGTCCAACTCGCCCCACCAGGGCAGTTGGGTCCTTGGTCCAACTCACACCACTAGGCCAGTTGGGTCCCTGGTCCAACTCACCCCACCAGGCCAGTTGGGTCCTTGGTCCAACTCGCCCCACCAGGCCAGTTGGGTCCTTGGTCCAACTCGCCCCACCAGGCCAGTTGGGTCCTTGGTCCAACTCACCCCGCCAGGCCAGTTGGGTCCTTGGTCCAACTCGCCCCACCAGGCCAGTTGGGTCCTTGGTCCAACTCGCCCCACCAGGCCAGTTGGGTCCTTGGTCCAACTCACCCCGCCAGGCCAGTTGGGTCCTTGGTCCAATAGCCCCACTAGGCCAGATGGCTCGCTGTTCCATATAGCCTCACCAGGCCAGTTGGGTCCTTCGTCCAACTCACCCCACTAGGCCTGTTGGGTCCTTGGTCCAATAGCCCCACTAGGCCAGATGGCCTCTGCTTCATCTCTGTCTTGAATGTATATCCTGCAAGCTCACTTGAGATAATGTAACTTCTACTCCTAAGTCCTTCTCTAGCTAACTTGGTTTCTTTCAATAACCCCATGATCAGATTACCCTATGGTTACATAACCCCATGATTACATAACCCCATGATTACATAACCCCATGATTACATATCCCCATGATCACATCACCCCATGATCACATCACCCCATGATCACATCACCCCATGATCACATCACCCCATGATCACATCGCCCCATGATCTCATCGTCCATCACCCTATGATTTTATTTCCCCATCACACGATCTTCGCATCATCCCATCTCCCCTTCACCCCATCAACCCATACCCCATCGTCCCATCACACTCTCGCCCTTTCTTTGGATGTGCTCTGCACCACAATGGTTGCTGTCCAACAGCTTCGGGCAGTTCATTGGCTGTCCTCCCCACCATGGCCCCAATTCTCTTAGCTGCACGCACGAGGCACGAGCTACAAATCAGGAGCAATGAAATCAATACACTTGCATGGTAACGTTCCTCCCTTTTTCTCCCTACTCCCAAATCCACTCTCCACCCTCCCCACGTCTTCCACCTCCCTGTTCTCTCCCGCCCTCTTTCCCTGACCACCCTTCCCGCATAGACCAGCCAGTAGCATCCTTCCTCTGCCGTCCATATGCCCACACATGATGAATGATCACTCATCTCTGCAATGAGGTCAGATTCGAACCTACCCTATAGGTGTCTGCTCGCATCGTCACCTGGCTAGCCACCACTGCCATTGCCACCCCATCCTTTCTTGGATCGACCCTTTCCATATGGACGACTCAAGTCCCTTGATCTTATCATCACATCACACCATCACACAAGCATCCCATCACATCGTCACACGATCTTCCAGTCACCCCATTAACCCATTACCCATATTCCCATATTCCCATCACCACATCATACCATTACCCCTTCGGCCATCGTCTCATAATCCCCGCACCATGCGCTTGCTTTGCCGTTGGCCCTCGATGCAGTTGTTTGTGTCAAACAGCCCTGAAGTCACTGTCTCGTCTATAACACATCGCTACCCACTGGGTCAAAACGAGGGTGTTATTTGGCGCAGCGGAATGCCCATTAACACTTAGCCCACAGGCGTTACACTCGTCCCCCCCTGGTGTCAACGTCCTCGTTGACGAACTTCAGGGAGTCGGCCCCCCACGGGGACCTAGACTTCGCTGAGGCAGCAGCGACTTCGCTGGTGGACCAGGGCAGCGGAGGATCGTTCACTGGGTTCGATCCGGTTACCACATTCAAGTTCTCGCCACAGGCGGAAAATGTGGATCAGCCAGGATTTGAACCATAGGCTCTGATTCCAGTATAACACCTCGCTACCCACTGGGTCAAAACGAGGGTGTTATTTGGTGCAGCGGAATGCCCATTAACACTTAGCCCACAGGTGTTACAGGTATGCCCCTGCATGTACCCAACTGTAGTAGTCGCATATAAGGATTTAAGCATGGGAGGGAGGGGGCAGCGGCAAAAAAAACAAGACAGAATCTATCACAGGAGGCGACAAGGGCCAGGGATGTAGGATGGAGCACATTGGCATGACTGGCTAACGTATAGAGATGAGACTAACATGTAGCGTAACGAGATGATAGTTGGGCTGCAAGCCTAAATTGAGATGCGAGGCTTGGGAGATGAAACCACAGCGGCAGAAATCCAAAGGATATTGAGATAGAGCACGGTGGAGCTGTGAACGAAGTAGAGGAAAAGAAACATGTAGGAGGATGGATCGGATACTGTGTGCCGGTGAGGGAGCACGGAGGGGTGGGAATGGGGGAGGGGTGGGAGTCAGAGGTAAGGGGCGTGGAGGGGATGGGGTGAAGAGTAGGCGCTGAGAAACGGGAAGGAGGAAGGGGATGGAATGGGAAGGGGGAGAGACGGTGAAGAGGGAGGGAGAAGAGGGGGTAGAGCGAGAGGAGAGGGGAGGAGCAGGAGGGAGGAATGGGTGGGAATGATGAAGGAGGGGGTGGGAGAAGGGGGTAGGAGCGGGAGGGGTAGAGGGAGAGCCGTGGTGGGGGAGTAGGCAGCAGTGGTGACAGGCCTTTTAAGTAGTGGAAATGCCTGTTTCCGAAGTGCTCACCTGCCTGTCGGTAAACTACTTCTCATTTACACAACGGACCGTCACTTAGCAAAATTGCTCCTGTGTACCCTTTGAAGTAATAACTGAGCCTGGTTCACGTTCACACCTCCTCACCATCGGCCCTCCTGCTGCTTCATTGGCACCTGTGGTGCTCCCCGTGGTCCTGCAGCAGCAGAAGCGACCCTTCCTCTCTGCTGTCAGGCACGCAACCTGTTCTTCTAAAGGACAGACACAACCTTGACAAACCAAAGCTGCACCGAGCGCTGGCTAAGGCTGAGCCAGATTGGTGGAGCAGGTGGCCCGGAGCAACAGAGCCATGACCCGTCGCCCCGACTCCTCTCTCTGCCCTTCTGTGAATCTTCGCCACCGCCCCTTCTCCCTCCTTGGCCCTAGTGGTGAGAACTGCCCTTTAGTGTTGGCCGACTAGCTTGTCACAGTCCCCAAGACCTCCGCCCCCCGGCCCCCACCTGGTCTGCTTTTCACGAGCCTTTCCTACGCTGTGTCCTTTCACCCGCCCCTCCTCTGCTGTGTCCTTCTTCCTATGCCTCCCCTTCCTGGTACCCTGGCACCACGATCATGGGAGGGTACTCAAATTCCATATCTACACGTCCCAGGTCACCCCATGCTCTTTAGTATTTCTTCTGTTTGCCTTGCTTTTGCTTAATTTGTCTCTGCATGTTGATGTGTTGTAGGACTTTGTATTTGTGTGGTGAATTATCTATTGTTGTTCGTACCAGGCCTCTTCTGAACCAGGCCAGCCTGCCTGCGGCAAGTGTCAATGCTAACCCAAGTTTGTCTTACAGTTATGATGTGTACAATCAAAGATGAAACCTATGAATTGAACCTAAAATAAACTGAAACCTGAAGTGTAACTTTCTCTAATAAGATAACACAATGATAATTATGAGAGTGAACTCTAGCCTATTCCAATATTGCCGTCGCCATCCCCTCCTCCTGCTACCTCGTTGGTGCAGCATTGCTGGCACAGCAGCCAGCTCAGCAGCAGCAGCAACACGAGGACAGCCACAGTGTCAGCAGCAGCAATGCCAGCCATGGCTTCGCTGAATAATCCGCCCCTCCTTTGGAGGGAGAGGCGGAGGGTGCATTAGGAGCTGAAGTGGGAGGAGGTGGAGAAGGTGCTAGCGCTGGCGATGAGGAGGGTGTTGTCACTGGCGATGGTGAGGGTGCTGGCACTGTCGATGGGGACAGTACAATAATGGGATCGGAAGATGAAGAAAGGGAAGGGAAAGGGAAATCAGACATGGGGATGACGGTGGGCTTGGTGAAAGTGGATGTGGCATCAGGCACATTTTGCACAGTGAGCGGTAGCAAAGAGAGGCATTGACGGGTTTAAACGGGTACTATTCATTAAAAGCCAAGCGGAGGCATGCAACAGGATGTGGATGCGTGAGGATGTGTGATGCGTGACACTAGAAAATATTGTTCTATGGGTTCCTGATACCTGGAAAAAAAAATCTGACACTGAAAAGGCTTGTTGAATGGGTGGCAATGTGGTGTTCATGCACTTGACATGAGAGCAATGTAAGAATAGGCAATACAAATTGCAGCTACCTGCGTAAGAAGCGTCTCACCTGGTGGTGGCTTGTCACATGTGGTGCAGAAGGAGCCGCACTGGCTGCAGAAAGCACTTGAAGTGGTCTGTGGGACCACGCAGCTTCTGTAGTCAGGAGGGCATGTGATTGCAGTCGAAGACATGTTCCTGCATGTGCACATGGAGCATTTATAAAACGAAGAATCGGAAAAGGGTTTCAGCTCGAAGTGAAACGCTCTGAGGTTGCTATTGGAGTTGTATGGAACATATTGCAATACTCTACTATGCCAAGGTGTTATACAGGCTGAAAGCAATGACGAACCATACATTTGTATATAACCGCCTTTTGAAGACGGCCTGACGTGGAGGTTTGGGTTGGGCCAGTCCAAGTTAGGTCCTTGTGTACCTCCTGCCTGTGGCCTTAAACACTCTTTGGCTATGGTACACCACTGGAACACCTTGTATACCTCCTCTTCATGAAACGCTCCAAGGCTGCTATGATGGACATTGCAACACTTGAGCATGCTAGAATGCCTTACAGGTATGTAAGATTAGTGAGACTTCCTATTGCAGGTGGGAGTTGGCCAGTGAGGTTGTTCTGGCTGATGTCACTGCAACGGATGGAAATGACTAATAAAAGATGTATGAGACACAGTCAGGGCATTGCTAACAAGTTTTTTGTTGGTCAAATGTGCAGAGATTCAAGTACGAAGAAATGAACCAAGGATGTAACACGGTTAATTGAGTTGTGGTGGGGATTTTTGTTCAACCAGCGTGACTGAGTCCAGTCAAGCATGTGCCTATAAAGCTAAACATGACATACTTTTTGGCCATGGAAAAGACATCTTGGACTCAACACAGGCCATTTGTCGGGCTGAAGAAGGTTGAGCCAAGGAAGTCCAAGTTCAGCCTTTGGTAATTAATATACCTCCTACCTCTATGGGCGCGAATGGTCCACTGTCTATGTCTCATCTGTGTTGCAAGCTGGATGCATTGTGAGATCCTTACTGTATCCTGATGCACGCTCTTATCTGTCATCGTTACTCTCATATATCACACTCATTGGTGCATGCAAAAACTCCTTTTCATGACATTCTTCTCTTGACAAGCCGGCAACAGGCAAGCCACACGAGCTTGTGGCTCCCCTCGGCTACACTTCATGGATAGGATTGCTGGCTCTAAAAAACTGGCAGGACCAACCTTCGGCTCACGACAAGCTGGCCACTGGATGGCCATCAAACCATGATGGTCACCAACGGCTCATCACGAATTGGTTACAGGCCATTGCTCATGGATTGCTCAGGCTCATCTCTGCATATGCCCGATTCTACGTGATCACAATCATGTGTGCATGCTCCCACCACTCATACTCACAGATAGGTTAGCCTGTCCAAGGCACTGATGGAATCTGGAATGGACCCAGTTAAGCCATCGTCATTCAGATTCCTGGTGCGCATTTCGGTCCTTGTGTACCTTATGCCTGTGGCTTAAAACAAACTTGGGCAATGGTACACTACTGGAACACCTTGTATGCCTCCTCTTCTTGAAATGCTCCTAGGTTGCTATGATGGACGTTGCAATACTTGAACATGCTAGAATTCCTTACAGATATGAAAGATGAGTGAGACTGCCAATTGTTGGTGGGAGTTGGCCAGTGAGGTTGTTCTGGCTAATATCACTGCAATGGATACAAATGACAGATAACACGCAGAATAAACACAGTCAAGGCATTGCTAACAAGATTTTTGTTGTTGTATACCTGCAAGAGGTTTCAAATGTACAGAGATTAAAGCACGAAGAAATGAACCAAGGATTGGTAGAAGGTAGGAGACAATCAGAGAGGATATGAAAAGGGCATGGATTGTGGCAAGGTCTGCATATTTTAAGAGGCAATTTCAGGTTAGGCAAAAAACATCTTGGACTCAACACAGGCCATTTGTCGGGCTGAAGAATTTTGAGCCCAGGAAGTCCAAGTTCGGCCTTTGGTAATTCATATAACTTTGAGTGTTACCCACATCCCTATCTTGACTGTGGGTGAGTTGAGCATCCATTTGGCACCCCAAGTCCATTGGGGAACAGTTTCCTCACTTGACCAGCCCAAGTCGCCTCCAAGCTAGCCCTCTTCGAATTCTGTCAATTGGTTCATGTTTTGCTTGTATCCGCTTGCCTCGCTTCGGTTACGCGACATATTTCTCAAGCATTTCTGAACCAGATTCACCTCGTGCACAATGTGCACGTTGAGTCTGTATTTTTACAATGCTAAAGTGCCTTACAGGTATGAAAGAAGTTTGAGGTTGCCTATTGTTGGAGGGAGTTGGCCCGTGAGGTTGTTCTGGCTGACGTCACTGCAATGGATGGAAATAACAGATAAAAGATAGAATAGAAACATTCAAAGCATTGCTAACAAGATACCTAACCGTGCATACATGCAAGAAATTTTACCTGTACAGGGATGGAAACACAAAGGAATAAACCAAAGATTGGTTGATGTTAGGAGACAGTCAGAGGAGATGGAAAAGCCGTGGATTGTGGCAGGGGACGCATATCCTATTAGGCTATTCCAGGTCAACATGGTTAAGTTGCATTATAGATTTTTGTTCACCCAACGTGACAGAGTCCAGTCAAGCATGAGATGCATAACCAGCTTCATGTGAGATATTTCCCAACCAGGCAAAACACATTTCAAATCAACATAGGATGTTTGTTGGGCGGAAGAAGGTTAAACCAAAGAAGTCACAATTCGGCACTAGGTTTTATAGATACCTCCAACCTATAGCCAGTGCAAGATTTCTCAATGAGCTCAAGTGACCCGACATTGTGTTACACACTGCATTCATTATGAGTTCCTTACGGTGTCCTGAGGCATGGCTGAAAACCATGCTCACGTAAACCTGGGAAAGAGTGATGTTGAAGTATCAAAGCAAGAGTGCATAAAGGCACGAACCACTTGTTAGGCTGCTCATGCTTGCATTGCAACCCCTCTCGCTAGTCATAGCCAAGGGCAGGCCCCAGTTCACCCTTAAAAACTGATAAACTAAGGGTGAATCCACGTTTTGAACAAGTCTAGGATCAAGCTAGTCAAACCCCGCGTTGGGAAGATTATGACAACTACAATAAGTCCTGCTGGGTTCTGGTCTTCAGTAAAATCCTGTTCCCGTCCGACCGAGACCCACAACACCCGACTCATGAGTCGCGTTGGACACATGTGGGTTACGGTTTGAATAAGTCGAAGCTGTTTACTCTTCAATGCAGATGCATTTTCTGGAGTCTCCCTTTCTGGGATAGGTACAACGTGGGTCAGACATGCTTATGAGTCGAGTCGATTCAAGTCAGTTCAAGTGGAAGTCGAGTTGGGAGTTGTGTCAAGTTGAGCAAAGACCAGACGTTTTCTTAACTGCCAGCTCTGGGCCTCTTATTTATGAGCATGTGAGCGGTCATGTTGGCTCTCTTTATGATCTCTTGATGTTACTCACAAGTCTTGGAGGTTTGTCATGTTGCCGATGGTAGATGGAATGGACCCAGTCAGCGCATTGTGGTTAAGATACCTTATGGTAAAACATGCGAAGGGTTTTACGGGTGGTAAGATTACATAAAAAGGGCTTCAAATGTGTTAAAAAAAGATACGGCGAAACACTAGTTACCAAGCACATGGAAAGGTGCCATGAAATTCAAACAAGAATAACACATAATGGTAGGAGAGGGAGGATTGATATCAAACAGCAAGAAGGACTAAAGAACTCATGACATGCTGAAATATGATTGTGATACAAGCTACCTACTCTAAACGGTGCCTGATAAACAGGTGCTAAACGTTACCATCGACTATATAGCACAGTGTGCAAGAAGTAGCCCTTTCAAAAAGTAAAAGCGAATGAAAACAATGGGCAATTATTTGAGCCTCACACAAACATGCAAATATGTAGACATTGAGAAGCAACACAAAGGGATACACATTACAGAACGTTAGTGGTGGTGGAAATGCATATCAGGACACGAGAATGAGTTGAAACTTGTGAGCGTGTACAGTGGTCATGCCTAGCATGTATGCTCGTTCTCAAATCAAGTTGACATGGTGTTGCCATTGCAGGCCCTCTAATTTCTGAACCTGTGCGAGGTTATGTTGGCTCTCTTTCCTATTCCCTTCACGATACTCACAACCAAAAGAGGTTTCTCATGTTGCCGATGGCAGATGGAATAGACCCGCTCAGAGAATTGTGGTCAAGAATCCTGATGATACAACATACAAAAGGGTTTATGGGTGGAAAGAAACATTGAATACAGCAAGAAAATATTCCTAGTGAAAAACAGCACACTATATAAACAGTGCTGCAAGAAACAGCCCTTTTAACAAGTGAAAACAACGGGCAATGATTTGAGCCTCACATAAACATGCAAATATGTGGACATTCAGAAGCAACACGACGGGATAAAAAATTACAAAATGTTAGTGGTGGTGGAAATGCATAGCAGGACACGAGAATGAGTTGAAACTTGTGAGCGTGCACACTGCTTAGCAGAGCGTGGTGGCGTGCCAATTGTGCACACAGACACTTGTAAACACCAACAACGCTTCCATATCCAAGACCATGTTGGTGAAGAAGTGCACGGCAATGCTCTCGTGTACAAAGTGGTCGAAATGGTTCAATATGATTCTGATCACCAAGCAGCTTACAAAATGGTTGAGTTATTCCGACTCATACTGAAGAGAAGGGATCGCGGCCTGTGACGTACCTTGTTGCTACTTGACAGGCAACCATGACCAATGATCCTCTTCATCAATCACAAGCCAGGGGTCCAAGACGGTGATGAACCCAAGCCAACTTTCTTGCTCTGCTGGCTGTACTCAAGTGGAACTGTGCTGTCTTAATGATCCAAGAACTTGCTTGCTGAACTTGCGCCGACAAGCATACTGTCAACTCTTTGAGAAGCCTTGTCATGCTCGACGTAAAATGAAAGAATAATATCAAATACACTTATGAACAGATGGTTGTTAGTTACCATGAATCGTCCATTTGAGTTCCAATCGTATATGACCTTCATCTTCTTGCTTGTTTTTACCTCAAAGCCACAGGAAGGAGCACTACATATGGATATGGCAAGAAGAAGCTTTTTATTTCATGTGAGTGTGGCAGTAGATTCCACGTACATCTAACAGCAAACTGGCATACCCATGGGGGTTTGACAAATTGTGACGAGCCAAAGAACAGCTGAAGCAGTAGTTAAGAGAATGAACCACAGCCATTAAAGCCAAGGGTGAAATTTTATCAAACTTCCTTGATACTGACAGGTGTGCAAGGTTGCTCATGCTGCCGATGGTGGATGGAATAGACCCATTCAGTTTGTTGTTCCAAAGAGACCTGAGGATGTACACACGCATAGAGTTCCATCCGAGGAATAAGATCAGAGTTTGTGGTACCATAAGAGGCACTGTTCTGAATGTTACACAAGCACACCAAAGCAACAGTGAAGCCTATAGCGCTAGTGAAGCAACAGTAAGCAGGCAAATTTAGGGTTGCAGCAGCTATTCCCCTCACTCTCACATTGGGGAGTCAGAGGCAGGATTTTATAGCTCTGGAGGGAATGTGTGTGCTCAAAAGTGATACTAGGGCTGGTTGGATAATTGCTTATGCTCACAAATTCACAGGTGGGGATCTTGTTTAGCTGGCGATTGAGCGAGCGTTTAAACAGGTTGACCTTCAGAAGGGGATTCCGTCAGCCAGCAGCTCTGGCCAGAAAGGCGAGATTAGATTAGGGTTGACCGGTTTTGAGGGGCAGTTTTTTTTTTTTTTTTTTTTTATCCGAGACATGATTTGTGTATGATGGAACTAATAGACGCAATACCTGGTAAGATTGCGCCTTTGATCGTCACTGCCAGCTTGATTTCAAAGGTTCCCACTTTCATCATCCTCCCATGTATGGAATAACCATCCTCACCCATGTAACTTGTCGCCTGAATGTTGCAGGACCATATTTCGAGGCTAATGCGGAGATATCGGCCGTGGAAGAACCTGGTACCCACAAGGTTACCTATGTGAGTGGCGGGCTGGACAGCTGACATAACGACGCTGTCAGGAGAAATCTCCCGCTCCGCCAATGTTGGTCACCGCCGTGCACCATCTCTAGCCCTGGAACAAAAGTGCATAGTGGTTCAGCCATATGGGCCAAAGTGTACCTTGATAGAGGACATGGAAATCCTCCCAGTGTCACCGGCAGTCCTCCCCTGCTCGGCTGTCATCACATCATTGTGAAAAGGTGGGTCTGGCAGCACGCAGAACGTAGGTATGCCAATCAGGCCGACCCTACACCTGCCTGCCGTTGCTGCAGCTGCAAACTCTGTGGTAGTGGCTGCCACTGCAGCAAAGCCAGCCTTGGAGAATATTTTCCTGGTGATGGGGACATTGGTGTATAGGGGGAATGGCGCCAGAATCTCCCCACCACTTCAGTTCCAAAGAATTTCACGCTCAATTTCCTGCCCACGTTTGGAAGATTCAGAATCTCTCTTGCCGCGAGGCTAATGTGCAGAGATCGACAGTAGACCCCCGGTACCCAAGAGGTCACCACTCTGATTTGCGGACTGGACTGGTGACACGTCACATGGGCGGGAGAGATTTCCCTCGTATCTGCTGTGCCAATGTTGGTCACCACCATGCACCGTCTCCCTCCCCAGCCAGGGCTAAAGTGCACAGTGCTTCAGCCATGTGGGCAAAAGTGTGCTTGGTTAGCAAAGCCTGAAATCCCCCTTTTCTCAGCAACCGTCAGCCCCTGCTCGGCTGTCATCACAGTGCTGAGAAAAGGTGTGAATAGCAGCACACGAAGCATAGGTCTGCCAACCAGGACGGACCCCATACTTGCCGGCCGTTGCTGCAGCTGCAAAATCGGCGGCAGTGGCTGCCTCTGCAGCAAATCCAGCCTAGGAAAAGATTCCCCTGGTGATGGAGACATCGGCGCAGCGGGGGAATCGCCGGATCTCCCCACGAATTCCACCCCGAATGGATCTCGAGTCAAATCTGTGCTGGTGCATACGCTCCCTCCTCACACGAAGCTTCCTATGGGACCATCACGAGTTATGAACCACGGCAATGGGCTTCCATTCTTCCTGCCACAGATCCCCACACTCGACCCACTGCTGCCACCTCCCTTGGTCCCGGACGCACCTGTCTCTCCTGGGTGAACTTTCCCCTGTCCACATTTCCTCCTAGGACGCAGCCACCGCCACTGGTGCCATGCCAGCCTCCTTGTGGACGGGCAGGCTGAAGCTGTAGCGGAGAGGATGGAGCTTGTGGCTATCGCAGGCTCAGGAGGAGGCCAGCAAGTTCCTCATGAGCTCCCGCATGCTTGTGGAGCACAAGGTCTGTTGAGGGCGCTTTCTGCTTGCGTTTCAAGAAGGTGCGTGTGCTGGCGGAGTTTCGCTGCAGTTGCATTGCATTATGCTGGAGGGATGGCTGCAACTCTGCTGCTGTGGGGTTGGGGGAAATTTGGTGGAGACGACCCAGATGACAAGCTTGGGTCCCCCCACCTGACACGTGAGCTGACACTGGTGAGTAGCATTGAGTTCGAGTAGGAGCACATATGGTCTGCAGTCACTGTATTCAAAAGGATATTCTTGCTCGTTCCTACCTCACAGCCACTGGAAGGAGCACTACATAAGGATAGGCTTGAGCAAGGTGGCGAACACCTGTTCGGTTCGCCTCGAACGTGTTCGAGGCGAACCGAACAGGTTTTGTTTTTCAGCTTAAATCGTTCGCCCGAACGTGTTCGATGTTCGCCCGAACACGTTCGTGTTCGTGGCGCTGCTGCAAAACGCCCCGTGTCGAACACGAACGTGTTCGAGGTTCGCCCGAACACGCCTCCACAGGCGAACAGCGAACACCTGTTTTTGGCTAAACTGTTCGCCGAACCGAACACTGTTCGGTTCGGCAAAAGGACGTGTTCGAGAAGGGGCGAACACGAACATGTCCGTGTTCGCCCTTTGCTCATCCCTACATAAGGATAAGGCAATGAAAAGTTTTCTACTTTATGTGAATTTGGTGGTAAAATGCAAGATCCACATACATCTGGCAGCAAACTGGCACATTCGTGCGGATTTGACAGATTGTGGCGAGGCATACAAGCTCGTTCTGGCTCGATTGGTTTGCGTATCATAGATGAGCCACAGGCCTAATTAGCTGCCCACTCATCTCATCGGCCAGTCAGCTCGTTGTGCAATGGAACGACTAAGCCGGTTATAGGCCTATGCTCAAACCCACTATTTGTAGGAGCCTTGCATTTGTGAGTCATTTCCAACAGCTCCAAATGCTCATATGGCCGAGCTTGGACCCTCTAGTCATGATGTAGTTCAAATTGAATGGCGTGGGACAGCGTGGTTGGGCCAGCCTGTTTGGTACACGTTCCAAACTGCCCTTTTTGCATGTACCGCTTGTCGATCTCATCCTCGCAATTACTAGCCCGGCCTGTTGGGTCAGCTTGCTGCAGAAAATTCATGTACAATGACTAGTTGTATCATGGCCTGAGCCCACCGCCTTGCTGCAGATCTCTGGCAAACTTGCTGTAGAACCGACCTACCATAGGCCCCCCCCCCCCAGGCCCTGGGTTAGCGGGCTAGCTCGACCCAGCGCCAGCCCGTGGTCATGCCTAGCATGTATGCTCGTTCTCAAATCAAGTTGACTTGCTGTCGCCATCGCAGTCCCTCTAATTTCTGAACATGTGCGACGTCATGTTGGCTCTCTTTCCTATTCCCTTCACGATACTCACAATGACTCGAGGTTGCTCAGGCTACCGATGGTGGATGGAATAGACCCGCTCAGAGAATTGTCGTAAAGAGACCTAATGATACAACATATGAAGGGTGTATGGGCGCACAGGAACATAGAATACAGCAAGAAAACAATACCTCAATTTATTGACACATGAGTATGGCTGCATATGTATAAGGCGGATACGAGCAAGCCATTGCTACAGAGCGCATGAAAAGGGTGCCATGAATCTAATAAAAAAAATAGAGCTGAACTAAAATGTAGGAGAGGGATGAGTGAACATGACATGCTGATATGTGATTTGTGATATAAGCTACCTACTCTAAAAGGTGCTTGATTGTGAGCACAACACAAAGAAGCTGCTGAATTTTACCATCGACATTATTCCACAACGCTGCAAGAAACAATGGTGAATGATGTGCCGGGGTAGCCGAACGTTAGCATTTTGACACTAGATGTTTAATGGACAGATTGACCAACCCTTTATATTATTGTCATTGTCCAAAAAATGAACTCTGGAGGCTCAGTTAGGGGGCCTCATAACCTTGCCCATGTATCTTACCGCCTGGACATTTCGGGACCATATAGTGAGGCTAATGTGGAGAGATTCGCAGCAAATCCTGCTCACCACTGTGAGTGGCGAGATGGACCGGCTCACAACAGTGACAGGTCGCTGTGGTCACACAGGAGGAATGACTGCATTCTCTCTCCGCCAGTTCAGGGGCACCTTCCATCCCCAATGGATCTCAATTCACATTTGCGCTGGTGCAGACTCCCTCCTCCTCATGCATAGCTTGTATGCTCGTTCTCAAAACAAGTTGCTCAAATCACACCATCAGAGGCCCCTGTATGTACGAATCTGTGCGAGGTCAGTTGGGGCTCTCTTTCTGGATTCCTTGCCGATACTCACAATGTTTCGAGGCTGCTCATTCTGCCGATGGTGGATGGAATAGACCCACTCAGAGCGTTGTCGTCGAGAAATCTAATGGTAAAGCAAGCGAAGTATATTATGGGTGGAAATAAATGAAGACAACTTGCGCCTCATGGCAAACATGCAAATGTGTACACATTCAGAAGCAGGAGAAAAGGATATAGAGTACACAATGTTTGTGTTGGTGGAAAGGCACAGCAGGATACAACTATGACCTGAAACAGCTGTGCATGCACAGTGCTTAAAACAGCATACTCCATCGCATAATGTCTTCACTGTCTGCATTTGAACGAATTGATTTTGTGAAGGAAAGTCTGTAGGCCAGCAGCGTTGGCAAGACATTCTGTTTTTTTTTTTTCTGTAGCGAAAAGGAGAGTTCAGGGATGGCTCAGATTTGACCAACGATGATGGCAGCTTGAGAATGGCTGGTCTGATGACTTTACTTGGGTATGATCGAACTGATGGCAGCCTATATATCGTGGCTTTGGGTCTTTTCCCTTCGCTACGAGCTTGATTTCATAGAATTTCACTCTCATTTGAACATGAGGAACAGCCAGAACCTCCCTTTCCCATGTATCTTGTCGCTTGGACATTGCAAGACCCTATCATGAGGCTAATGTGCAGAGGTAGGCGGCAGACCCCAGTACCAAGTAGATGGTGAGGCTTCTTCCATACTGATCCCAGTTAGCTACCCATGGCGGTCTAGGATGCTGCCTTTGTTGTGAATGTCCTGCATTCTGTGCGTTTTCTTTTCCAAAGAGAGAAAGCAAAGACCGATCTAAGAGAACATTGACGCATCATAGATGCAAAAATTGGACTACCCATGCTCGCATCCCAGTGCGTCTTCTCTCCCTACACACGCAACTTAAGGCCGCGCTCAGTATGTGGCAAACCTTTAGGGGACTCCTAAAGAGGGAAATTGAAGACCAATTTATGAACACATTGACGCATCAAATACGCAGAAGATGGACTGCTCATGCTCGCAATCCAATGCGTCTCTCCCCTCACATACAGCTTAAGGCTGTGCTCAAGTATGTGGAAAACCTTTAGGGGACGGGGAAATTGAAGACCAATTTAAGAGCACATTGACTCATCAAAGACGCAAAAGATGGGCTACTCATGCTTGAAATTTATGCCTTTCACTACAACATGACCAAGGGCAGGTTCCCTTATGACTTGTGCCAAACTGGTTTTTCAAAGGTCAAACGGTGCCCTGATTTTCACCGGCCAGCCTGCACTACTTGAACTGTTCTGATGTCAGACTGCTTGAATCGTTTTGGTCCTCAGTGAGAAGGTATATGCCTGGAAAACCAGGCTGCTTCAATCCCGTGGCCCATGACAAACCCCACTACTGCTGCCGGACAAGGGCACAAGACACCCGACACATATTATCCCGCAATGTGTCAAACTGGGAGCTCAATTTTGCATTCAATGACAAGTACAGGCCTGAGCTGACAATTGAGTCAAGCAGAGCCAGCAACCCTGCTCTGCCGGCTGACCCCGAGTTATCGAGCTGGCCCGACGAGCCGAGACCCGGCTTGCCGGCCCGTTGAACTTATTCTTTCACCAGCCGGCCACAAGCTGGTCGAACCCAGCTGGCCCGAACTGGGCAAGAATATGCTTGATAATCCAGGCTGGTTGGTTGTCTGGCAGACCAAGATGGCCCTTGAGTCCTGTGGGATACATATAAACCTTGGATTGAGATGGTTGGAGCTCATTCATTTATTTCCACCTTTTTTGAAACACGGGTCCAAGATGACAATTGAGTCAAGACAAGCTGGCAATCCGAGTATCAACTGGCTGAAATCAAACCGATCTCGACGAGCCAAGACCCTCTCTTACCCAGATGAGAAACTAGAAGCAAATCCAAAGCTGAAATGCAAGATTCACCCGAAGCAGTAAAATACCAAAACCGTGTAAGCAATGCCTGCTTGTCTACAATGGACGAGCCACGAGCTTGGTCAGCTGCCCGACTGGCTCGTCAGCGCACCGGATCATGGCAATTTGAACCAAGCCAGCTTGTCTTAGACCTATGCTCGTGCCTAGTGTTGACGGAAGAGGAGTGTTGGCCCCGCCCTAGCTTGGGCAACGCCGACGACTTGGTCGGATGTACGGGAGAAGCAGCCAACCGCTCACAATAGGAGAGCTGCTCAACGGGCTTCGTCGAGCTGCAGGGGACCGCTGTGGCGCTGATGTCGGCCAGGGAGCTCGACAGCTGCAGCTGACTGGGCTGGGCGACGGGTGGGCCGTCGACCAGGACGGGCAGTTCGACCGGGAGGCCGACGCAGCTGTCCGTCGACCTGACAAGTGAGGAGTGGTCGACGAGGGGAGCTCGGCGTCAACCGCTGACAATTCTGGTCGACGGAAGGGGTCCGTCGACCAGGGGGTAGCTCGACAGGAGCTGTGGTCGACTAGAGGCACCTGGTGGTCGACCAGAGGCACCTGGTGGTTGACCGGAGGCACCTGGTGGTCGATCAGAGCAGTTGGTGGTCGACCAGGTAACCTACTCGACAATTTCTGCGGAGGCACGCGAATGTCGTCGAGGTCGCGATGGCGAAGGCGACTTCGGGCTGGTAACCCGAAGTGGATGTGGCTCGTCAGGCGCAGACAACGGCCGATGGATGCACAACGAGGCGAGTCGCGCCAATCGTTTGCGCGCACCTGCGAGCATACGCACTGCTGTCTTCTACGGGGCAACGCTGGACAGCCACTCTGCTGCAGCGTTGGCACGCCGTCGACCTGCTATGTTGATAGGTCGCCTTTCAGCAGTGCTGACACGGCGACCAGGCTAGCTGCAGAGTTGCTAGGTGCCTGATGTAGTCATTGTTGTCATTGCTAGTTGAATCAATTCTGTAATTTCGACTTTGCTAGTGGAAACTCTTGCCGATTTCTCCCGTGAATGTGCAAGCGCTAAAGAACTAAGCAAAGCTACGATCACTCCTAGTAGTTTGTGCCAACCTCTGTAGTCTAGCTCACTACCGTTGTAGAGTGACTTTCCGCACCTAGTGTTTCATGCCTTCCCTGAACGCATTTCTTATGGTGAAAAAAGCTGATAGTGGCAAACTTGGTCCTTTCGTTATGAGGCTTCCTAGGATTATGGCAGACCAAGCTCGGTTCAACTCAAACAAACGAGCCATGGCTATCAAAGCGAGAATAATGCCCAGCGCAAACCCTCTCAATTCCATCTCGATAATGTCTAGCCATGTAGGCATAAACCATACTGGCCTAGTTTCAGCTCTTGCTCTCGTTAGTTTTGAAACTAATATGGTTCTCATATACTTCCTACCATACGCTGTGATGGGCCTCAATGAAAGCAGGGCTTGGGTCAAAAGCGGGCCAAAACGGCCCGACCCGGGCCGCACCTCGAGACAGGCCGGCCCAGTCCACCCCTAAACGGGCGGGCCAAAAGTAGGCGTCTGGCCCGACCCAACCCGACTTTTCTGCGTGAAATTCGTCCCCATGGCACGTAGCAAACCCTTTAGCAGGCCCCCAACACACTCATTGCAAACCTTTCCACACCTCTCATATGCACCACCACAACCTCCCTCCTTCCACTCACCCATTTTCTCTACTTCTTTGTTGACATTGTGCACAGACCAGCTGCATCTACAACAGTTGCAGTACCCTTTGGCATGCCAACTAGTTTTCTGACTTGGGCATGATAGAACTACTAGAACTGTGCCTGTCCTGCTCTCTCTGCCCCTCTATACAACCCCTGATTCACCTTCGTTAAAACATGGAAGATGTTCCTCAATCATGTTTAAAGATAAATTCTAACCTTAACAAAACTTTGAACATGACTTTAACATGGAATGATTCCAAAGGGTCCACGAAAGCAGACAGTGGGTTTGGATGAGAGGAGGAATGTGGGATGAACAGTTCAAGTAGCAAGGGAGGGCAAGTGAAGAACAAAGAAACACACAAAGGCATCCAGCGAATCCACGGTCCGCAAGGGGTCAACCAACGAACGCAAGTACCTGCAGCTGCACCTGTTGCCATACCACTTGACATGCCAACTCGTGCTCTGACTTATGCGTGGTAGAAGTACTGAAGCTGTGCCTGTCCTGCTCTAGGCATGAGCAGGGGGCGAACTCGAACATGTTCGTGTTCACCCCCTGACGAACATGGCCTTCTGCCGAACCGAACAGTGTTCGGTTCGGCGAACGACTTGAGTGAAAATAGGTGTTCGCCGTTCGCCCTAGGAGGCGAACGAATTGCTGCAACAGGCGAACACGATCATGTTCGTGTTCGCCTAGGGGGATATTCAATATAGAGTAAAATTCAAATAATTGCACATTCCCTCCCAACACTTCCCAAGCCAGTCCCACCCTGCTTCATCCATCTAGTGCCAGCGTGCAACGGCGAAATGCTAGATCCGCACTTAAGCAACGGCGAAATGCTAGATCCGCACTTAAGCACCGGCGAAATGCTAGATCTGCTCTTAAGCAACGGCGAAATGCTCGATCCGCACTTAAGCAACAGCGAAATGCTCGATCCGCACTTAAGCAACGGTGAAATGCTCGATCCGCACTTCAGCAACGGCGAAATGCTCGATCCGCACTTGAGCAACGGCGAAATGCTCGATCCGCACTTAAGCAACGGCGAAATGCTAGATCTGCACTTTACTAACTGCGAAAGGCCAGATCTGAGCCAAACACCAAGGCTCGCGACCTAAAAATTGGTCGCGGGCCAGTTCGTCGACGAACACATTGGTGTTCGTCGAAGGCCTGTGTCGAACACGAACGTGTTCGTGTTCGACGCGCCTCGGCGAGCTGAGCCGGGCGAACGGCGAACATGTTCGGGCGAACACCGAATACGTTCGCCCCGAACAATTTAGGCCAAACCAAACAAAAATCCTGTTCGGTTCGCCTCGAACAACAGGAGTTCGTCATATTGCTCATCCCTATCCTGCTCTCTTCCTCGTAGGACCCCATCTTTAAAGAGATTAAACCATAGAACTGATTCAGCGTGGAAAATTATTCCAGATGCAACATCAAACATGTTCACTCGCCCGATGATCCTTAATTCCTTAATCCTGATGAGTTAACATGGTACCATCCTAACATGCCTTCAAGAACTAATGGGCTCATCAAAGCAGATAGTCAGCCTGGAAGAGGGAGGGACAATGGCAAGAGCAGTTAAAGAAGAAAGGGAATGCAAGAGAAATACAAAGAAACACCCAGAATGCAAGGCCAGCAAGAGTTAGCTCTCCAAAATGCATGTGCACATGGAGCATTTATAAAACGAAGAATCGGAAAAGGGTTTCAGCTCGAAGTGAAACGCTCTGAGGTTGCTATTGGAGTTGTATGGAACACATTGCAATACTCTACTATGCCAAGGTGTTATACAGGCTGAAAACAATGACGAACCATACATTTGTAGCAAAGGCCTCGGCAGTTTCCTTCCGCGACCCCGAGGCCCACTCCTTCCACCTGTCGGAAAGCACCATCGCGTTGAGGGTGCTACGCAACTGACAAAGACGGGACACAGCAATGTACTGTGTCCCGAACCGTGTTCCCGCCGGCTTCAGCGGCTGCAGCACCTTCCCCTCCACCAACTCCTTGCTCCTCAGGTAAGCGCGCGTCCAATGATGGTTGCGAACGAACGAACTCATCTCCCCAGTCCTATCCACCACCCCTTTTGCCCACCCCATCTTTCCCACGTCGAGGAGATCCATCACATGCGTGGCACAAGGGACCTGCTGAATGTGGGGCCACTTGGCAATCAGCTCCTGGACAGCCACGGCATAGTTCGACCCCCCATCCATACAAAATGCGACGACATTTTCTGGTCCTACCTCCTCCACCACCGGCTGCAGAATCCCTGCTATGTATCCTCCCGTCTTCCGCTCCATACCGCAGTCGATCGCCTCCCTGAAGACGGCGCCGGAGTCGTTGATCAGAAGCACGTTCGCTTGCGCCCTCCCACATTTGTCCGTCATCATGTCGGACGCAATTGTTACCCCCGTCCTCTTCCAGCTCGATTTAATCCCCACCAGCCCCTGCTCAATCCCTTTGCGGACAGCAACCAATCCAGCCCCGCCAATGAAAGTCCTCCTGGGGGGGACGTAGCCGTGGCCGGCGCGGTTGACGAGCAGCATGGCGTTGATGAACAGCGGGTGGTCCATGGTGACCTCCGGGATTCTGCAGGCCGCAAACATCAGCGCAAGGCCCTCGTGAGCATCCCGCTTAGCCGCAGCGGCATCTCCCTCCAAGTAGTCGGTTATGCTCCGCTTCCCTCCGCCAGCCTGGACTGCCGCAACTGCAGCAGATGTTGCTCGGCACTTTTCCTCGATCGCGGCTGCCATCTTTTCGTATTTGGTGCGCATCTCGTTTCGTACGTCTTGCGGTGCCTCCTTGCAAAGCGTCACCTCGCGACGCTTCATTCCCTTCCACGAGCTCAGGTGCTGCGCGCAACGAATGGCTGGACCGGTGAAAACATTGAAGCAGTACTTACACTCGTACTGCTGCGCTTTGCCTTCTTTCCGCACAATGAGGCTGAAATGTTTGAAGACTGCGTGTTCCGGCATGTCAGGAAGGTAATCCCTACCCTCAGGTCGAACAATCCGAGAACTCTGCACTGTCTGAACGGATGGCGGTGTGCATGGCGGGCTAGACATTACGAAAGAGATGGGGAAATGATGAATTGCGTAGTTGCTTGCAACCCACTAAGTAGCACAACGAGAGAAGGGAACATTGGGACAGGTGGTTGGAGTGAGTAGATGGGAGGGGATTCAATGCGGTAACAAACAGAGCGCACAAAGTGTGTACGTGAAAACGCGACTTGACAAATTGACACAACCAATCTCGACTACGTGGGTTGAACCCACGTCCACGATTGGACAAGTCACGTATGTGCAATTTGCCATCTGCAAAAAGCCACGTCCACGATTGGACAAGTCACGTATGTGCAATTCGGCTGCAGCAAAACGCACGTCGTGAAATTCCGCATCTTTCCGTATGTTCGAAATTTTTTCCGCCCGGGCTGCCCCAAAACAAATTTGCCGAGCGTATAGCGGATTCGCTTGCGTATAGCGTGTTGCGTGTATACGCAAGCGGATATCCGCTAAACGCAAACAGGTCTGAGCGTTTAATGCAACTTAGCGCTCTCCTTCTCCTCCTCTTCGTCCATCGCTTCCTGGTCCTTGTACTCGTCGAATTAGGCTGGGGGGGTCGAAATTTCGCGATTTCGACATTCGCGTCGAAATCGCGAATGTCAAAATCGCGATTTTTTCTTTCGGGCTGCCCGAAAAAAAAAATCGACCTGCGTCCTGCGTCTGGACGCGCGTCCTGCGTCCTATCGTCCGGACGCTACGTCCAGACGCAGGACGCAGCGTCCTGGCTGCGTCTCTCTCATCATAGTGTAGAGGCACTCAAGTCAAGTCTAGCAAGAGTTGGTGCACACATGGGGGATGCAAGACCAGGTAGAGTTGGTGCTCTCACATGTAGGTCACCATGCCTTGGTCATCGCAGAACACATGGTAGGCCAAGTCGCATTCCCCCCCAGCCACCCATCCAGAGACATTCAGCCCCCACGCTTGCTGCAAGTCCTGCAGGACTCGCACTGGCGGCAAATGGTGGGGGAGAGGGGGCAGGAGGGCAAGAGAAGGATAGAAGCTGGGGCAGGGAACAGAGGAGGGATAAATTGGCTCTCATCACCTACGTGTTGCACCCTTCTCTTCGTCCCTGACTCATCACCCTGTGCCGCAAGTGCGGAATGGACGCATGCGATGGTGAAGTACCTACCGTGACTCGCAGATTAAAAGTGCCACAACGATATGCATTGTGCGCATGGGAGCATGGGCATGCCGTGGCCACTGACTTATCCGTTGATAACGACATAAGATAAGAGGTGTAAACAGTAACGAGATCAAATAGGAGGTATATATCGTTGGGCATGAGCATTCCTGAGCTCTTTTAGGCACTCCACCAAGTTATTTAACTACGAATACTAGTACTCGTGGTCGTAAATGAGCCACAACGCCCTGGTATTGCTGCAACCATCCATGGCAGCAAGTCACCCATACATCAAATCCCCCCCCTATGCTTGCTGGAGTTCCAGCCAGCAGGAGTTGCACTGATTGCGCTAGCAGGTAGGAGAGAGGCTACAATGGAGCAGGAAAAAGAAGAGATGAATTTATCAGCTCATCAACGCTTCGTATGGCTTTCCCTCCCTCTTTCAACCCCTGCACCAGACATCAGTAGAGCAGAGAGGTGCAATGTCAAACTTGAAATTGGCCGAACAAGCTTCTAAGCACCAGGCGTTGGAAAATTATTCTGATAGAAACACAACTCTGATGGATACATGCGATCGTTGAGCACCGGGCAGGCCGGGCCCGGCCCGGGTCGGGCCCACCCCGGGCTGCGCAAAAAAGCGGGCAGGGCTGGCCCGGCCCGACCCGGGCCATAGAAGGAAACTCTTGGCCCGAGCCCGCCCTCAAGGTGGGCGGGCCATGCTCGGCCCGACCCGGTCTCTGCATGGCCCGACCCGGGCCGGCCTGGCCCGGCCCGGGTGCTGTCATAATCGCCCACAGGATGTATTTTTGGGCTGTTTCTGTTGTATTTTTGTGCTCCGATGTGGCCCGGCCCGACCCGGCCCGTACATGGGCGGGCGGCTGCGGCCCGGCGGGCCAGGCCAGCCCGGCCTGCCCCGGGCCCACGTCGAAATTATGATGCCCGGCCCGGGGCATTTCCGGGCGGGCCCGACCCGGGCGGGCCCTGGCCCGCTTTCATGCTCATCGCTATCGCCGATAGCGTCACTTGACTTTGATGATCCGCCGCTGTGGCACGGTTGGTGCCACTGCTGAACCCACAATAGTCGTGCATGACATTTTGCTCGTGGCATGAGCTCAACCAAAGGAAACACAGCGGAAACTCCGTAGATCTGTGTGACGCACGCTGGCAACCAAGCCGAATGCGTCCGCGTCATGGTGGTGCCATCGTGGTGTGTGAGCCTCCATGGAACCCTTGCTGGAATGCATCATACTACCATCACCAAGGATCCAGAAGACATGAGATTTATCAGCGCAACAAATACAGGAAGATTAGGTGGTGGGGGTCGAGGGCGGGCCACTGATTGCTAAGTTCGTTTTGCAAGGATCCCAAAATTGTTGCCCCCCATACTATGTACTATTAGGTTCTGCTACATTCAATTTTGAAACAGGAGCTACGGCGCAGCGATGCACGGCGCGGCTGGCCTGGCCGGCCCAGCGCCTAAGGAGAGGCGCCTTAGCTAAGAAAGAATAAGAGGAGAGTCTTGCAGCAGAAGAAAAGGGAGCTAGGCTGGAGGGAGAAGCCCAGCTCTGGAGACGTAGATGAGAGAAGAGAGAAGAAGACTTTCAAAAAGATAGGATTAAAGACTCCAAGGATAGAACAGGATGAGATTATAATACAAGATTTTGAGGTGGATATTAATGCTAGGAAGAAGGGATGGCGACTTGGGGGAAAACCGTATCGCCACTCAATCTAGCATGGCATCTTGGCATAACGCCTCGATGCCATGTCCTGCTTGATTCTAGTAACATCTAATCACTGACGAGGATAAGGGAAAGGGAGATACCTAGGCAAAGGGCGGTTCCAACCGTTCGGGTATTCCCATGCACGCAGGCATGGCGAATCCCATCTTGTTACAAATTTGCTCTATACAGCTCTATATCTAGCAGAACAAGTACATAGTACGGGGGTGAAACAAAAGGTTCGTCGGACGAACCTTGGGAGTCGACGAACGGGACACAGCGGACTGGAGAAACCACGGCGAGACACGTCAGAAAGATGAGTAAGCTGAGCCGAATGAGGCGCCCCGCGCCGTCCGAAGTTGCCATCGAGGTGCAGCGATTCCAGGAAATGGTTGTTTTTAATCGTTTGTGAACTTGTGTGCATCACAAGCCGAGCCTAATTCTACAGCCTAATATCTGTAGACGGTTAAACCAAAAAACTAGTGTTACCAGCAGACGAGGAATCCGAGAGGAAGTTACTAAGCTAGGAAATGAAGTGGAGAAGACAGCCGCAGGCAGGTGAGGGTGGGAGTTGAGGGCGATGATGATCGCCCAGTTCCTAGCCAAAATTTCTTTGCAGATCTCTTGCGTGGCTCCAACATCCCAGCCAGGGCTGGTGACGTGGAATTAGCGAGTTGCGACCTCCCATTCAGCCGTGGATTGTGGTGTGGATGAGGGCTGTCGATTGGTTTGGAGCCAGAACTTGAGAGGCTGACGTGCCCCAAAACTTGCCCTGAAATTTACGGGCTGAGAGCAAACCTGGCACTTGAAATCAGGGCTACCAACTTTTTGCACCTCGCTAGGAAAACCTACATCTCTTCGGGTCCGTACCTAGGCAAACTACTAAGAGCCAGCTAGGCAATAGGCTGAGGTACGAAACATGTCGATGGATTTGACGGGGATGGGAAAAGGAAGTAGGGGAATGGTTGGGAGGAGGTGGGGGACTGGTGAGGGAATGGGAGGGAGGGAGCTATTAGTAAGGGACGATAAGGGCTAGCCGCGGGATCTGCACTTGAAATCCGGGTTAGGCCCACAACCAGCACTTTGCGGGGGCGGGCTGCCCTCAAAGCCAACCCTTAAAACTCGGAAGCTGGGCCGAACCCAACCCTTAATGTTCAGGGCATTAAGGGCATTTGCCCTTGAATCGTCAGCCCTGTGGATTCTGACGGATGCGAATGGATTGTCAAGTTACCATTCTCTCGCGATTTCCAGGGTGACAAGTTTCTATGGTGGCGTGGCATGCCAGCAGGGCGTGTCCAGCTACCAGAAAATCCCGCCAGGTCTGCGACTTAGACGAATCAGGACAGCAGCTGACCCTGTTTGACGAACACCGACCTCTTCATTCTCTCTCACAGTAACGGAACGAATCGAAACCCTAATGGACCCTGCAGCAAATCTTCCAGTATACAAAGAGCAAGTAGCTATTGAAGAGGATTATTGGCACTAGCGACCAGCGATTTGCCGCTTTTGACAGCTCTCACAAGTCATCGACGCTGCTGAAAGGATAGCTCAATCCCTGCTCCTTGCTCCCTCTGCTCCTTTCCCCATGCTTGTTCCCTCTGCTCCTTTCCCCATGCTTGTTCCCTCTGCTCCTTTCCCCATGCTTGTTCCCTCTGCTCCTTTCCCCATGCTTGTTCCCTCTGCTCCTTTCCCCATGCTTGTTCCCTCTGCTCCTTTCCCCATGCTTGTTCCCTCCCTGCTCCTCACCAGATTTAGCTCCTTATCCTCATTCTGTACTTGTTGCGAGCAATTATAGTATCCATTTGCCATGTACCCTTGCGGGCGGCCATTTCGTCGTCTTTGCCGTTGACCATTCTGCCCGATCAGGTGCGTCCTGCTCAGAGCACAATCGGTGTCCTGTTGAGGTGGCGTATGGCTGGGTGCATGGCTGGGTGGCGTTACACACTTGGCTGGTCGTCACCTTCCCGCGTTACATGCCGGTCCCAAGCTGGACCAGTTTCCTTCCCCTGCCTTTAGTCGCAGTGCTACCCGCTGCAGCACGCTAGACAGCAACAGTGCTGTGCGTATAGGCAGCATAGCTACCTCCAGCGGTATGGCTTGCAGCAGCAAGCTAGGCAGCACTGGTGGGAGTATGTGGACTCCACATTGCAGCAGCATCGGTTTTACCACCAGCAGCAACGATAGAAGCTGCAGTGGCAGCAGAGGCGATGGCGACGACAGTTTATTGCTGCCACGGGTGAAGCACATCGTGGCTGTGGCGTTCGCGAAAGGCGGCGTCGGCAAGTCCACCACTGCTGCTGCACCTCACTGAATCACCGCCTCACCGCCACACCGCCATGCCCCTCGCCGCTTCCTCTCCGCTCATCATATTCCACCCTCTCCTCCCCCTCCTCTCCACCCCCCTTCCCATCCGCCTTCGTTGCCTGCCTATCCCCCTCCCCACCCCCCTCCTGTTCCCCCTCCCCACCCACCTTCCCTTCCTCTGTAACCCATCCCCCTGCCCACCCTCCCTTCCCGTCAGCCTCCCCATCCCCCTTTCCTTGACTGCATGTCGACAGGTTCCCATACACGCTTGACTCACGCCTGCCTTCTTCCACACATACCATTCACCCCATTCTATCACCCCGCTCCTTTCCTAGAATCCCTCTCGCCCCATGCACCTGACCGCGTTCCTCCCCCTGTATGCCTCTTCCACCGTGCCCCTCACCCCGCACCTCTCACTGCATGCCTCTAATCGCATGCCCATCTTCCCTTATCCCCCCATCCCCGCATCCCCCTCATCTAACCATCCCACATTCCCTCCTTCCCTCCTCCCCCCAATCCCATCGTCCCCTCCCCCTCCCCCCCCCCCTCCCTCTTCCCCCACAGTGAACCTGGCAGTGGCACTCGCCCGTCACATGCGCCTCGCCGGTGGGGCTGCTGGACGCGGACGTGGTCGGCTCCTCACTGCCCAACCTGCTAGGCCTGGTCACTGCCAGACCCCCCCTGCTCGCTGGGCCTAGAGACTGCCGGCCGCCCCCTGCTCGCCCCCTCCCTTCCCCCACACGCGCATGATGCCACTGCACGCGCACGGCGTGCTCTGCATGTCCATGGGCTTCCTCATGCCCGCTGACGTGGCGGCCGTGTGGCACAGGGCCATGGTGATGGCGGTGGTGGAGAAGCTTGTAAGGGGGACAGACGGAGTGGGGGCGGCTGGACGTGCTGCTGGTGGACATGCCGCCCGGCACAGTTGACGTGCAGCTGAGCTTGAGCCAGCAGGCTTGGCTTTCAGGTGCATGGCAGACGGTTTAGATGGGCTGGGAAGGGGGTTAACTGAGGGGAGGGGAGGACAAAGTGATGGGATGGGAGGGAAGGGAGGGAAAGGGAGGGGAGGGGAGGGGAGGGGAGGGGAGGGGAGGGGAGGGGAGGGGAGGGGAGGGTTGGGGAGGGGAGGCGAGGGGATGGGATGGTATGGGATGGAGGACTTGGCGGCTGCCAGGCTGAGCTGGCGTGCGTGATTCAAAGCAGCAGCGTGGGGGGTGCGCAGTGGGTGTGATGCCAGCAGAGGGAGCAAATGAGGCAGTGGGAATGGGAGGGCAGTGCAGTGGCAGCTGGGGTGCACGCACGAGATGCTGCTCGCCCTCGCTGCTTACATCTGCTCAGACACCCACTCCAACCCTGCAGTCCATCCCAGCCTGCCTTCTTATTCGCCATCTGTATGCATTTTTCTTGCATGAGCAACCACATGTTTCTTTTTCTCCCCTCCCTCCCTCTCCCCCTCCCTCCTTTTCTTCCTACCTCCCTCCTTCCTCCCTCCTGCCTTCCTCCCTCCCTCACTCTCTCTCTCCTCTAGTTTGTCTTTTGAGCAGTTCAAATCACAACAACGCATTCTTTTGTCTTTCGCGCATGGCCAAATAACATATCCCATGCTCCTCTCCCTCCCTCCCTCCCTCCTTCCCTCCCTCCCTCCCTCCCTCCCTCCCTCCCTCCCTCCCTCCCTCCCTCCCTCCCTCCCTCCCTCCCTCCCTCCCTCCCTCCCTCCCTCCCTCCCTCCTTCCCTCCCTCCCTCCCTCCGTGCTGGGCGTTAAGGTCGGGGTGAGGCGCAGGGGTGGGGATGATATGCTTGTGGCACGTCTTTCAGGGTTTTTCTTTTGTGGAGGCTCAGAGTCCTCATGCACTGCCCTGCCATGCTCTGGCTGCTTTGCCTGCCCATCTGGCTGCCATGCTTTACCTACCTGGTTCTCGCTCCCTCCCCTCTCACCGCTCTCCCTCGTATGACCTCGTTCTGCCGCTTGACTCCGTCACTTGCCTTCCCCTTCCCTCTTCGTTCCTTCCTCTCTCTTTACTTTCCCTCTCCATAGCTCTCGCTTTTCTTTGACTATTCCTCCGATCCCTCTTAATCCTTCAGTTTTTACCCTTTTCTGTTTGCCTTTCTCCTTTCTCAGCTCGCCCACTCCCACTACTTGTGCAAACTCACGCTTCATCCAGCCCTTTCTTCCCCTCGCCCCCTTTCTTTTCCCTTGCCCACTCTACTCTCCTTCCCGCCGCCCCCTCTCTCTCCCCATTTCCTCTGCCTGCCTCCTCCCCTCCTTCCTCACCCCTCCCCCCTTCTGCTCTCCTTCCCCCCGGCCCCTCTTCTTCTCCCCGCCCTTCTCCTTTTCCCCACCCCTTCCCCCTTGGCCCCTTTCCTCCCCTCCTCCCCGCCCCCTTCTGGTGGTGGCTGCCAGGAAGGCGCCGTGGTGGAGTGTGGCGCTGTTCGGTGCTCCCAGTGATGGCCGGACCAGCAAGTGAGTGGTTCTTTGGAAGAGAGTGTGTATGGGAAAGGGAGAGATCATGTGTAATGCCTTTGTTCTTGCTTGGCTTGGCCCTGCCGCTTTCCCCACCGACAGGCGTGGCGTTGGTTGGGGTGACTGAGTCCCTGGTGGAGCGTGAGTGAATTCAAGCGAGTTCCAGGCAACGTGAAGCGCTGGAAGCGAGCAACCTGAGTGGCTGTTTGGAGGGTGTTATGAGAGGTGGAGCGTGAAATTAGAGAGACAGTGGACCGAGTGGGGTTACAGAATTCCTGGTGGAGTGCCACTTCATCCCGCGCTAGAGGAGGTCAACTGCCCGCACTTGCCATGTGCAGATCAAATATCCAGCTGATGTGCAATATTCCTTTCCCCACTTGGCCACCCTTCTTCCCCACTGACAGGCGGCGCGTTGAAGTGACAAGAGTTGGTGGTGGAGAGAGTTGGTGATGGAGAGAGTTCGATCCGGCGCTGGAGGTGATCAACTTCCTGCACTGCACCTGCCAGCCGTGCAGATCCACGCCAGCGTGGCAGCGTCGCTGGCAGAGAAGAAGCAGAAGCGTGTGCTGTTTGAGGGGCTCATGGATCGGATCAAGCACATGCTGCCACCCGCTGACATGGATGAGGTGAGAAGCACTGTCTTTTGCAGTCTCTGGATCGGACAGGCTCATGGGTCGAGAGCATGCACTTGATCCGATCCATGAGCCAAGCACAGTCTCTGCACACTTGGTCACGCCCTCTCCCTCTGTCTGAGAGAAGCACCAGCACCTCGTGCTGTTTCCAGGGCTCATGCACTGCATGCCTGCCAAAAGCCTGGTAGCATGATTTGTGGGATGTGCGACAGAGATCTGGCGTGCCTACTGGTTTCTGATGCGGCTACTAGTTTCGAACGCTGCTAATGGTTGTATAAGTTGAGGGTGTCTCAACAATCTCGCGTGTTGCACTCCTCTCCAAACCTCACTTTTCCAATCGTGCTTTTTCCTAACCTCATTCCTTTCTCTCCCCCCTCCTCCTTCCCTCCTCTTTCTCTCCCCCCTCATCCCATCATCTGCACACGTGTCCACAGGTGATTGGAGCAACAGCGATGGTCTACACCCACGCTGCTGTCAAGCTGTCAGATCTCTCCCTGACCTTTACCAGGCAGCAAGACATGTCCCGATCTGTGAAGCTGCCCAAGGAGCAAATGACCGACTCATCCACATGCTGTCAGACGAGCACAAGTGAATCTATTGGTTTTCCTAAGTCTGTTAATATCAGTCTGTTACAGTTTAGTAAGTCTGTTAGCTTTCATCCCACTGTCTGCGCACATGCTCTCATCCACATGCTGTCAGACGGGCATGAGGGAGTTACTTGACCTAATGGTCCTCTGATGGCCATAATTGCTTCTTCTTCCCTTCTGTAACTGCTCTGTCATAATCTCGAAGAATAGTGTCAAAAGGAGCGCCACTGTTGCGTCATTTGGACACCGTATGAGCTGACTCAGCAAGTGCACTAACATTGCTCACCATCATTCCACATGCCTCCTATGGGCGATGGCAAGTCGAGCGAGGGTCGGCGTGCGTCGCTAGCTGCTCCTTGAGCGCTGAGAAAAATTCGTAGCGCAGCGTTTATTGCGAGAAATTCGTCGCGTGCGTCGCAGCGAATCGAATGGCGTCAAGAGACGATCAAGAGAACCGTCAACTTGCCGCTTTTGAGAATTCTGGTGCCATTGTCACCTCCTTCGATGCTGGTTGGAGGGTTGTCTTCTCCCTCCCTGCTCCTCTCCCCATGCCTTCGCCCTCGTTCCTCCCAGCTTTTTCTCCTCATCCTCATTCTGTGCTTGTTGTCCGCGATAGAAAATTTCCCGTTCCCTCATTCTGCCTACCCCCCTCATTTCTCCCCACTCCCTCCCTCCCCCCTTCCCTCATGCGACCTGCCATCTGCTCACAGGCGACGACAACCTGCTGGAGAGCCAACCAACCATGCACGGCACGCGCATGCAGTGGGTGCACGCAGCCATGTTGTCGTCTTTGCTTCTGACCAGACCAGACGGCCATAGCCTTCTGTCAAATGGCGATCAGCATTGCCTTCCCCATCGCCTCCTTCAGCGCTGGTGGGAGAATTGATTTCTCCCTACCTCCTCTTCTCCCTACCTCCTCTTCTCCCCTGCTCTTCAAGAGTGCTCCCGCGACGAGATGGCCGACGCCTTCCTCGAGGTGGGTGAGAGGGTTGGGGAGAGGTGGGCGCGGGGGAGGGGAGGTGTGGGGGCGGGGATAGGGCTGGGGGATTGTTGGGAAAAGGCTGGGGGATTGCTGAGGGAGGGTGGGGGGGAGTGAGGGCATGGAGAACAAAAGCGGGTTCTACCTTGATGACATTGCAGATGCCTTCCTCAAGGTGCGGGAGAGGGGGGGGGGGAGAGGGGAGAGGGGGGGGGGGGGGGGGGGGGGGGGGGGGGGGGGTAGAGTCTGGCGCGGGGGAGGGGAGATGTGGGGGAGGCTGGGAGAGGGCTAGGAGAGGGCTGGGAGATGGGAGAGAGGGGGGGAGGTGGTGGAAGGCATGGAGAACGAAAGCAGGTGCGTTGCACCAGGGAAGAGGGGAGAAGTGGTGAAGGGGAGGGAGGGGGGAGGGGGAAGGGGGTTGATTGGTGATGAAAGTGTGAGGGTTGTGCAGCGAGGAGAAATGGGTGACGATGGTGATTGCAAACAGCCGTGTTTTGCTCAAGTCCCGACCCCTCTCACTTCTTCACCCCCCGCCAACCATGCGGAATTGATCGATCAGGTGTGCACACACTGTGCGACATCCCCCACTCTTAGCTTCCCCCACTGTTCCCCTCCACTCCATCCCCGCCATTTCCCCTCTTCCCCTTCCCCCCCTCCCCATTCCCCCACCTCCCCTTGTTCCCCCCTGCAGGTGTGCGAGGATGCGTGCCTGCGTACTGCATGGTACAAGCCGGTGCTGAAACGTCTCAAAACTTCCCCGCCCTCGGCAGTGGAATCCGATGGGCAGCGCACGCCGTCTCTTTCTGACGTCCCTCCTTTAAAAGCCACTCTCTGACCCCTCTCTCCTACCCACCCACCTCGGTCTTCCCCCTTTTCTCTCCTCCGTCGCCCGGCCCATGCCAGGAGTAGCCCGCCCTTGATGAGGCAGTGGGATCGGGAGGCCAGTGTGGTGAGGTGATGAAGGGCTGGAAACGCGGGGGGAACGGAGTCATTAAGGCGGAGAGCTGGTTCACGTCTTCTGGACCGAGAGCAAACGCGTGTGGCGCATCCACAGCCTTCTCATGTTGATCTGGTCGCTAATCTCTGCGGATGCGTCATGGGTCCCCATCGCCTTGTATTGAACCTGCCTCTACCGAATCAGCTTTATAGCTTGTATCAATACCACTGCCATTGGCACTCCATTCACCACATGATACCATATCCCGTTAACCCATTACCCTATCATCCTTTCACCCCACCATCCCATTACCTCATTACTCCGTCATTCCATCGCACCATCAAACCATTTCCCCATCACATCATCATCTTATCACTCCATTATCCCCCGCCATGCCCTTGCACGGGCTCTGGCACTCACTGCAATGGTTGTTGCTAAACAACTTGGCAGGTCACTGCCTGCCCTGCCCCTGCATGTGCCCACCTGCCTTGCTTGCATGAGGCACAGGCTACAACCCAGAAGCCAAGAGATTCATTCCCTTGCTCTTTCACTTTCCTCCTTTTCTCCCCCTACCCCTGAACCCACACACTACCCTCTCCATCTCGTCCAGTGCATCATGGCAGGGCGCTGTGGTGTTCACCTCTCCCCGCCCTAATCGCGTTCCTTCTCTCATCGCTTCTTCCTTGCCCCCCCACTCCCCACCACCGCTTCCCTAACCCACCCACCCACCCCCCCCCCCCCCCCCTCCCCCCCTCCTCCTCCGCACACACACACAGAGCTCTGTCCTCCAGCTCTGTCCTCCAGCTCTGTCCCTAGCTCTGTCCCCAGCTCTGTCCCCAGCTCTGTCCCCAGCTCTGTCCCCAGCTCTGTCCCCAGCTCTGTCCTCCAGACTGATTGCTCCTGTTGATGCCTCCGCAGTAGCCCATGGGATAAGTTTTCTTTTTTTAGGTCAGAAAAATAAGTGACCCACACGACAAGGAAGCCGTGGTTGCTTGCCAAGCCATGTCTTGCTATGCCGTGGTATCCTGTTTCTTACTTCCCATCTGGAGTCTGCCGTGTGTTTCTTCATTAAGGCCCTTCTCCCTTCCACACTCTTGTGTGTGGTGTATGGTCCGGTCTATATCTTTTTGCACGTAGTTATGATGCGTTTTCAGCACGTTCAATCATTGGCGTGCCATCCTTTTCCTGCCCTCTCCACCTACCATTTCCCCGCGTTGTGAACAACGGGGTTTCAAGCGACACTTGTCAGTTGATGAAACCACTCGGAAATATGGGTTCTGACCACCTAAGTCGCAAGCCAATCATGTTCAGGCACGTTCTTGTTTCTGCGCTTTCAGCATCCCAGACCAAACAGCAACTTTCCCGTATTGCCCTCCAAAAGCACCAGCACTGAAGGCCAAGCGAAGCGAGCATGGGCCATTTCAAGTTGGGTCGGGGGTTACATTTTTGCCCTCTCGTTTTTGCAGTATTCGTTTTGAGACTTGAAGAATTAGAAACAGAGAGACCTAATATGGAAAGAAAGAAGCAAAGAACCCAGCAACATTATACAACACACAATAACTCAGCACAGTCACCTAAGTTTGATTCCTTCCTGCCCTCGGAGCAACGGCATGCAGTTGCTCGCACCTCTTCTCCGTTATTAAGTGACACTGCCCCTTCAAAGTACATGTTAAAGCCTTCAATCGCCTTCAAGAGGGAAAAACTCATTTCGCTGAGTGGGTGGGTGGATGGGTGGGAAGACAGCAGCAGGATGAGACTCAATGGAATGCTTTCAGGGATGACAGACAGCATGAGCACATGGAGATGGAAGATGTAGATCAATGAAACGAAAAAGAGAACACAGAAGGGAGGTAGAGGAGTAAGTCATAATGTTGTAATAGAGGGGAGAAGCGCATGAGGATTATTGGAGCTGTGCATGCTGGGCTGTGCATGCTGGGCTGTGCATGCTGGGCTGTGCATGCTGGGCTGTGCATGCTGGGCTGTGCATGCTGGGCTGTGCATGCTGGGCTGTGCATGCTGGGCTGTGCATGCTGGGCTGTGCATGCTGAGCTGTGCATGCTGGGCTGTGCATGCTGGGCTGTGCATGCTGAGCTGTGCATGCTGAGCTGTGCATGCTGAGCTGTGCATGCTGAGCTGTGCATGCTGGGCTGTGCATGCTGAGCTGTGCATGCTGGGCTGTGCATGCTGAGCTGTGCATGCATGGAAGAGAACGAAACCTAAAAGAGAGCACACTCTTTCGTCCCTCGCTCGTACGTGTGCACTTGCTGTTGACGAGCTGGAACCCGGAGCTGCACTGACACATTGGCTTTCCTCTCACCGCCATGCACTGGGAATTAGCACCGCACGCAGGCTTGCACACGGCTGTAAATTGGGTGGGGTGGGTGCGAGAGATGGGAAGAATGAAAACAAGGACGAGATGAAGGGACTACAACGCAGCGAGAATAAACAGCATGAATGTCGTGACACAAAGATTGTTTATCAGTGTGAGTGGGAGGTTGCGGTAGGGAGGAAAGAGAAAGATCTTCACTGGAAATCCACAGGCTTGCAAGAGAACGAGACAAAAAAAAAGAGCAAAATTATCTTCTGTGCTCTTACGTGTGCACTTGTTGTTGACCGGCTTGAACCCCGTGTTGCACTGACACATTGGCTTTCCTCTCACCGCCACGCACTGGGAATTAGCACCGCAGCTAGGCTTGCACACAGCTGTCAAATGGGTGGGGTGGGTGTGAGAGATAAAGGGAATGGAGGATGAGAGGGGAAGAGCTGAGGGATTACATAGAGCACGCACAGATGGCAAAACCTTCATTGGCACAAGCGTCCTTCACGGGTGCAGGTGGCTGGTGACAAAAACACGAAGAACGCATATTTCTCCCCCTCGCTCTTACGTGTGCACTTGTTGTTGACGGATTTGAACCCTGTGTTGCACTGACACATTGGCTTTCCTTTCACCGCCATGCACTGGGCATTGGCACGGCAGGCAGGCTTGCACACGGCTGTCAAGTGGGACGGGTGGGTGTGAGAGATGAGATGGGAAGGTTGAAGGATGAGAGGCGAAGAGATGGAATACGGCATGGTTGCATGAAAGAGAGCGAGTACAGGAGAGGTTGGAAAACGAGTGAGATATGACAGGGGTTCTCTCCCCCTCGCACTTCCGGCCTTACGTGTGCACGTGCTCTTGTCCTGTCGGAAACCCGCTTTGCACCGACACACGGGTTTTCCTCCCACCACCATGCACTGGCCATTTGCAGGGCAGTCAGGCTTGCAGATGGCTGGTGTGGGTGCGAGTTGGTGCGTGGAGGAGAGGAAAAACAACGTGAGCTTGAGTGGGGCAGCAGATGGGGAGGAGGAAGGAACGACCAGGTGGGGCCAAAGAGGACGCCACAAGAATACCACACACACTCAAGCTGGGTTGACACGAAGGAGTGTGATTTCATGTGCTGCGTCTAGAGCCGTGGTTGATCTCACCAGTGCAGAGGCCCTTGTTGACCTTGGTGTAGCCGGCGTGACACTCGCACATTGGCTGTCCGTTCCTCACCACGCACTGGGAGTTCCTCGCGCAATTGACTGACTCACATAGGTCTGCACCTTCGCTAGGGTCTGTGTCTGCCATAGGTGGTGGAAGAAAGAGGTGAGACTCGTTTGTTTGTTTTTGTTTTTTTTTTTGTTTTCCCCTTTTTCTGAGAAGGATCGGCCTGAACAAGGGAGTTTCCGGCCGACCAGGGCAGCCGATCTTTCTGCATGCACACAGGAACGGCTGATGGGGTAGCTTTTGTCGCTGAATACAAGCAAGAGGAGAACAGAAAGAGGAATGGGCCAGTGGCGAGAGAGAGAGGGAGAGACACGTACCCGTGCTGCTGGGAGACTTGTTGGTGCAGCGCTTCAGAGCATCGTCGAACACAAAACTCCAGGGGCACTTGCACTGGGACACGCCCCCCTTCACCACGCACTCTGCACTGCCGCAGTCCTTGTGACACGTGGCTGTTGTTGGTGGCACAGTGGGGCACACCGGCCAGGCATGTAGAGGAAGGGGTGAAAGGGGTTAGCAAAGCATGGCATGGTTTGAGATATCTCAAAGGGGTCAGCAAGGCATGGCATGGTGCAGGGCGGTGAAGAATCAATTAAGTGCATAGAGCTGTGCTTGTGTGTCCAGCTGGCTCATCCAACACAGAGGTGAAGGTGCTTGAACCTCCTTGGCACTTTGCACTTCTGGCACTCAGAATGACGGAAAAAAACGTGCTCCTGGGGCTATGCGCATGTGGCCTGCACATGATGATTTCGCAGAACAAGTTTCTGCCCTCCCACTTACTGATTTCGCAGCTCACTGATTGCGGCGGGGCTGCTTTCACAGTCCTGAGAGTGGGAAGGTAAGGGCAGGGCACACCACAGACGAGCACACGGTTGACAAAAGAAGAAGAGAGTTGTGGCGATCACACAGGAATGCTCCCTTTGAAACGCTCGAAGCACAGCAGACGAAACCACACTGCCCGTTGCACACCACACTCGCTCACCTTGTTGTGACGGGGAAGAAACCGCCGACCTTGGTCAAACCCGGGCGAGCGATGGTCAAACCGGGCTTGTCGGCACAGACCGGGTCAGCGTGAAACGAGACGCTCTTGCACATGCCGTTGCCAACCGTGTCCACTCCAATCGACGTCCACTCCACGGTGATCCTGGTGTTGCTGCCGCCCAGGTCGCTGACGTTGGTGCAGGCGGTGGCGCCAGTGGCTTGCGCCATGGGCACGGGGCTCTCAAAGGTGAGCAGCGAGAGATAGTTGAGGCCCTCCACCTCCACCCTCGTCTGCAGCAAGCCGTCTGCGAGCACGCGTCACGGGCGTTGCACGTTGTTGCGGGGATAATGGGGGTACAACGCCGTCGAGTTGTTGCAGCACAAGGGAGACCGGGAGCGGGATGGAGAGGTAAGTGGGGGGGGTGAGAAAGGGAGGGGGTTTGTTGAGGGGAGGGAAAGATGAGAGGCGGAAGATGAGGTGTCAAGGCTACCTCCCAGGGATTACAACTGTTGAAACGTCAAATGTGACAGGATGTGTTTGCCTAAAATCAGAGCAGCTCACCAGTGCAGGCGCCGTTCTGCATGATGTACCCCAGCTCGCACTCGCACTCCCCCTTTCCCCCTCTTGCTACGCACTCCGCCTTCTCCGGACACTGCACTGATGGGCACGGGTCTGCACTGGGCAGGCCGGTGGGAGAGGGGGGAAGGCGAGGGGAGGGGAGAAGGCAAGGAGCATAGACAGGCTCACTGAGTGGAGGCAGCTGACCGTAAAGTCTGGGCAGGTGAATGTAAACTTTGGACAGGTGACGGTCTCTTTCCTTGTGACTACCTGAGAGCACAGGTAGAGCACAGGTCAGTGAGAGCACAGGTCAATGCGCACTCACTCACTCACCCGCACTCGCACCACTCACCAATGCATGTCTTGGTCGCCTCGTTGAAGGCATAGCCAATGACGCCGCACAGGCACTCGGTGGAGCCATCATCGGCCGCAGAGCAGTGCGCGTCTAACCCGCAGTCCACCGTGGCACACGCGTCTGCGTGGATGCGTGGCGGTTTCCAGGTGACACAGGGGAAAGGGAATTGGAAGAGGTAAGCTTCTTGCTTGATACTGTACACCCCTGCACCCCTGCACTGCTCTCACGCCCACCTCCCCTCTGACACCATCCACCCTCCATCGCTCACCACACTCCTGATGAAACTCAAAGGAAGAGGGGCTGGCACGAGGGGGAGGGGGGGGAAATGGGGAGAACTATTTGTGGTGTTTAGGCAGCGTGCTCGTATGGGGAGTAGTTTAGTAGCGCGCATGTCGAGCCCTTGAATAAATGAGTTCCGAGCGTGAGGCTTGGTCGACTAGTTCCTTGTGGAAGCATGGGGTGCCAGTGGCTGTCAGCAGTCACCCATTGGAATCTGGGTGAAGCAGCTTCTTGCAACGACCACCCACGACCGCGAGCTGCAGGAGGGTAAGAAGCAAGGCGGTTGGGTGAGCAAGAATGAACACCCACTGGGAGTGGCGATAGGAGCACGGCGTTCACCTGCGCTGGCCTGGGTCGCGAGAAGGCTGATCGCAGCGAGCCCGGCGACGAGTGCGACGAGCCCAACGGCAGACGGCCGCCCGCAGCGGTCCATCACGACGGAAGGCGGCGAAAGGCTTCAACCTCGAACTTCGAGTCGCGCGGAAAGTCAAACCTTCGCGACAAAATGCTGTAGGGCCGGCGACGATCGCTGGTGGAATGAGCGAGGTTCGACCGGCGGGAGGAACGAGATGATGCGAGATGCACGAGAGGCAAGGTGGTGACGGGGAACGAGAAGAAGTGCGGCGATTGTGAGAGCTTCGGAAGGGGAGGCGATTTATGTGTTGAGAGAGAGCGAGCGAGCTCGGCACAGAGCGTGGCGGGGTGTCCGCAATAATGCATCGGGGATTCGCGGCGGAAGAGGCAGGGGCCGACGAGGTGGCGCAGCAGCGCACGCGCTTCAGTAGCGACCGTCGACGGCGCCAAGGCCCAGTGGCGTGCATTCGCTCGGGCCATGCCCGAATGGTGCGCTCAAGCAGGAGCGCGATGGAGGGAGGTCGATGGGCAGAGCGGGCTTCACGGAGGTCGATGGTTGGATTGGAACGCGATGAAGGCAATGGGAGGAATGGACAAGGGGGCGGATGGATCGTGAAGGGTGGAAGCGTGGCGAAGGGCGCAGTGGATGGATGGCGGGGGGACGCGTCACATGTGCCAAGAGAAGCGAAAAAAAATAACTCTAACGATTCTGCTTTTCGCCCGACGAGCAGCGAGAAAACAGATCACGACACTTTACGACCCGTGTAACCCTCTGTGTTTGACCAATTTCGCTAGTCCCCGGATGTTCCGATTGCGGAGAGCTGGGAATGCGTTTGAACGCAAAAGGCGCAAAGCGGAAGGGGGGGTGAAAATGGGATGATCGGGAAATTATATGGCTGGTCACAATTATGGCCGGTTTATCATGGATGGTCACTCGGCTAATGCAAACGGTCACAGTATGTGGGTTATCTATCGCAGATGATCACACCACTATCACGGATAGTCACACCAAGTCCCGCAACACTATCACGTTTACAGATGAAACGCTCATTTAAAAAAAGAAACCACTTGAGTCACTGTATGAAATTTGGGAAATTTCGCTCTCTCGCACATTTTGTCCATAGCATAATGTTCCAAAAATATCATTTTTAGATATAGATCTAAAACCTCTTCGGATGGGATATTTTCGGGACGTAACAACCCTAAAAACCTTGTCGTATGGTTTTTAGGGTTCATGCTTCCCGAGAGGGCATACGTGTCAGAATATGTTGTTTGTGTAGCCTGCAGTGGGGTACTCTATAGTGAGTACAGCCCCTTAGGGTTTGCTATTTGTATCCTGCTGCTTGCTAGTTCAATCATTCCTTCTCAATTCTGTTCCTACACACATTCCTAGCTCGTACTTGGCTCCTCGTTACTAGTCCTACTGTGGCCTAGGCTACTAAGCCTAGGCCGTACTCCTACTACTTCTGACATGGTATCAGAGGGCGGCATGTCTGCCGCCTTCCTGTGTATGGGCCCACCACCCGCTTCCGCTGCCGTACTGTCCGCCGCGCGCCCCGTGGTGCGCGGCGACGAAACCCTAATTTCTGCCCGCCGTGCGCTCGGGGCGCCTGGCGGTTTTCCCTTCCGTGGCGCCCGTCGTGGTGCCCTTGGGGGGGCCTCCGCGGTCCCCTCCCGTCGAAGCGCCCGTCGAGGCGCTCTCGGGGACCCGCGCGGCCTCCCCTCCCGTCGCCCGTCGAGGCGACCTCGGGGACCCGCGCGGCCTCCCCTCCCGTCGCCCGTCGAGGCGACCTTGGGGGCCCGCGCGGCCTCCCCACCAGTCGCCCGTCGTGGCGACCACGGGGGCCGCGCGCGGTCCCCTCCCGTCGCCCGTCGAGGCGACTTCGGGGGCCGTGCGCGGCCCTCCCCGTCGCCCGTCGAGGCGACTTCGGGGGGCCCGCGCGGCGCCCTCCCCGTCGCCCGTCGAGGCGACTTCGGGGGGCCCGCGCGGCACCCTCCCCGTCGCCCGTCGAGGCGGCTCTGGGGGCTCGTCGCGGCGCCCTCCCTGGTGCCCGTCGCGGCGCCCCGGGGGGGGGCCGCGCGGCTCCCTTCTCGTCGCCCCTCGGGGCGCCCTGGGGGCCGTGCGTTTCCCCCCCCCCCCCTTCTGCCTTTCAACTGCGGCGGCCGCCCCTGGAGCCGCCCGCCACTGCAGCAGCAGCCCCTGGAGCCGCCCGCCACTGCAGCAGCCGCCCCTGGAGCAGCCCGCACCTGCAGCAGCCGCCCCTGGAGCAGCCTGCACCTGCAGCAGCCGCCCCTGGAGCAGCCCGCACCTGCAGCAGCCGCCCCTGGAGCAGCCCGCACCTGCAGCAGCCGCCCCTGGAGCAGCCCGCACCTGCAGCAGCCGCCCCAGGACCCGCGCGAGCCGCCTCTGCACAAGCCCGGCGAGCATGGGGGTGAGAGGTGTGGGTTCTCCCCTCCTCCTTTTTCGTCTCCCACTACTGCAGCTGCCGCTGAGGGGGGTGGAGGTGTGGGAGTCGTGGGGAGTGGCACTAGGGGGGTGATGTGGGAGTGGAGCTAGGGGTGAAGCAGGGGGTGTGTGAGAGGGGTGTGGGACTGTTGGGGGAGGTTGAGTGGAGGCTGCTGTCTTGTCGTCCGCAGCACCTGTAGTTCGGGGCGCACTGTCCTGGTAGCTCAGAGAGCCTGCTGCACCTGTTGCCCGTGGGTCCGTTGCTCCTGCCGCTCGTCGCAGCCGCAGAGCCTGTTACTCCTGTATTCCGGGACGCACTGTCTCGGTAGCCACTGAGAGCCTGCTGCACCAGTCGCCCGTGGGTCCGTTGCTTCTGCCGCTCGTCGTAGCCGCAGAGCCAGTTACTCCAGTATTCCGGGGCGCTCTGTCTCGGTAGCCACTGTGTCAGCCGCCACTGTGTCAGCCGCTTCTGTTGCCCGTGTGTCTGCAGCTTCAGTCGTCGCCTCCCATCTTCTCTCCTTTCACAGTCCCTCCTCCTCCTCACTTGCCCTCTGTGATAGCCTCTAGCTTTGCTGATAATTATGAACTATTGCTATGACTGCTCATTGTGCTGATTACACCCCACTTTGGCTATGGGGGTGTGTCAGAATATGTTGTTTGTGTAGCCTGCAGTGGGGTACTCTATAGTGAGTACAGCCCCTTAGGGTTTGCTATTTGTATCCTGCTGCTTGCTAGTTCAATCATTCCTTCTCAATTCTGTTCCTACACACATTCCTAGCTCGTACTTGGCTCCTCGTTACTAGTCCTACTGTGGCCTAGGCTACTAAGCCTAGGCCGTACTCCTACTACTTCTGACAATACGTTGTTCCTAAATCACATTCCTTCCACAGACATCTCTTGCATGTGCTGTTCTGTGATGTTTGCATACTATAAGGAACATGTTGTTTTCTGCGAATCATGAGAAGGCAAGCAGCTGCATCCATGAGCAGACAGAACGCATCAGCCTAACCGAGTGAGAGAAGCAGGAAGATTTGAAAGAGCTGGGCAGATTGACAAGCTCAACTTGAATAGTCTGGATAGAGCTCCGATTGAATAAGGGAGTGAAGGCAGCTTGTGAGCGTTGATGATTCCCAAGCATGTGAGCTGTCGGAGCATTGAGACACGCATCCTCCTCTGTACACAGTATCATAGAATGGATCCCAAAAGAAATCACCCCAGCCAAGCCAACCGACCGAGTGCTTATCCTACATGTAAAAAAAGAAGACATACAATGACTTTCTTCAAACTACTCTGATTATCAGAGAAACAAAGTATTTTGGTACTCTGATCAGATCCTTCCATGCATGAAGACATGTCAGAGGGCGGAATCTCTGGGTACGCAGTTGGTCATCCTCATTAAGCTTGCACATTTCGGAAAGAGAGGTGAATAGTGGGGGAGATGTGGAGCAGAGGAAGAAAATGTTAGAAAGTGAAAGCGAGAATGAATGAACTAGCAGCAGGATGGGTACAAATACTAACCCTAAATTGGGTTGTACCCCATATGGGCTACCCCACTACAGCCTACACAACATGCAACATATAAGTTTGACACACCCCCATAGGCAAAGTGGGGGAGAACAAGAGGTCACATGACCGGTCAAGAAAAGGCAAAGCAAGCTCAGGGTGGATCACGAAGTCACCACAAACTCTGAGCACAAACAAATGGCCACAAGGCCAGTTGATATGCAAAGTTATATAATAAAAACAAGCAGTATAGTGATCAAAACATAGCAAGTGTAACCATGAAGGTATAAGTATATAGATCACAGTACAAGTAAAGTCAATAAGTGAGCAAGTGAGGCCCAGTAGGCACAATGCCTAAAACAGTACACAAACGCTGATGATCACAAGGCTGAAGTGCCTTGGTAAAGATATCAGCACTGTTGGCCCGAGAGGCCACGTAAGCAAGACGAAGCTGACCACGCTGCTGCAGCTCTCGAGCAAGGAAGTAACGCAGAGCGATGTGCTTCGTTCTGTGCTCCAGTCTGTGCTCATGACACAAGGCAATCATGGCCTTGTTGTCGACGTACAGAACTGGAGGAGAACGAGGCGGCTCTCCCAAGTCGGTAAGCAGGTGGTGAGCCAGCGGAACTCCTGTGCAGCCATGGCCCCTGCGTAGATCTCAGCCTCGCAACTGGAACTGAGAACAGAAGACGAGTGGGTAGACCGCCAAGAAACAGAGCCGGAGCCAAGGCTGAAAGTGTAACCCTGTGACGACCGCTACGTAGCCAAGTCATCAACCCAAGAAGCGTCCGCGTGTCCAGTGAGGACAATAGGACCCCGTCCTCCAAGCACGAGCCCCATGCCCGACGTACGGCACAAGTAGCGCAACACCCTCTTAGCGGCCTTCCAGTGCTCTGGTCGGTGTCTCCCGGGCGCAACGTAGCGTGCCAGGATGCTAAGAGGGTAGGCAAGGTTAGGTCGAGTGCAGGTCATCAGGTACATGAGGCAACCCACAAGCTCTGGATACGGGCCACTCGGCTCTACAAACTTGTCCGAAGGTGGAGCTGAGAGCGAGTGACCGGTAGGCAGAGGAGTGGACTATGGCGAGTAGGTCTTTCAAGCTTCTGGTATTACCATCTATAATTACCTATTCTAATACCATCTTACAACTAGCTAGGAAGTGTCGAGAGAATTGTGCTAAGGGAAAACAAGGAGATACAAGCGTCGACCTAGAAAGTGTTGTACCCTTTAGAGGGCAACTTACTATAGCCTAAAATAACTAATAATATCTAGAAGATATAAGCATTTGACAGTAACACCCCCCTTCATTCCTGGTCATAACAAGTCTTAACCCGCTTGACTACTTCGCTCAGTACGGAATAGTGCTGATACTGTTGACGGGGCAGTCGCTTCGTAAGAAAGTCGGCTGCCACGTCAC